AGAGGGTTGAGGGTTGTGCCCACCTTGCCCCACCCTTCCGGCCCTCCCAGTGCCCCTGGCCGCTGGTGGTGATAGTGTGGGGGGCAAACAGCCAGCCTGACACTGCTCTCTCCTCTGGTCCCCAAAGGAGGAGGAGAATGGAGCTGAGGAGGAGGAAGAAGAAACCGCTGAGGACGGAGAGGAGGAGGATGAAGGAGAAGAAGAAGGTGGGGAGGGGCAAGGAACAGAGTCAGGGTGGGCTTGAAGACCTGATGTAGGCCTGAGGGCGACCACTGGGGCCTGCTGGGGCTCCCTGCCTCCCCAATGACCCATTTCTGGCTCTCCCAAGCGGCAGAAGACAGAAAATGGGGCATCGGCATGAGCCCCCTGCCAGTGGGCTGGGGAAGGAGGCCCCTCAAGGCCTGGAGATGGGGCAGGAACAGTTCAGTGCAGCCACTCTCCACCTGATTTCTTGCTCTGGGCCCTGCATCAGAGCTGCCACCCTCTTTCTCCCCAGCCTTCTCATGTCCACCTCTCCAGACATTGCCCTTCCATCCTCACTCTGCCATTGTCCACCTCCTGACCTGTTCCATCTGAGCTCCCCAGCTGGTCCCCAATTGCTCCCTTTCCCTCCTCTTTCTCTCTTCCTCACTCCCACCCCTCCTCCGATAGCTTCTCCTTCGGAACCTCTGCATCCTAGCCTTCTGTCCTGCCCATCCCTACCCTGCCTGATCCCTGGGTCTCCTTCAGATCCCCTTCTCTCAGACAGCGCCAGGCCGGGGTGGGGCCAGGGTTGGGACCAAGCCCCACAGCTGCCCCCCTCTCCTCCCCTTTTTGTATAATTTAATAAAGAAATGGTCGCGCTTCTGTTTTTAACCTGTCTCCTGCTTTCCCAGGGCAGAGGGAGGAGGGTGGCTCTGTCACATTCTGTTAGGACCGTTCCCTTCTATTAAAAAGTGCCCTTCTATTACCCACCACTAAGGAAGACAAGGTCAGCACTTTCAGGGTGGGCATGGAGGACGGCATCTTTGAGAACTGACTGTTGTCCTGATTTTGGATTCTTGGGGAATTCCTCCCCAGCAATACACGCGCACTTCCCTGCTAGCCCACACCAGGTCTAGACACTGCTGAGCCCAGTGGAAAGCTACCAGCCCTATTGTGCTGAACCAGGCAGAGACAGCCTCAGAAACAGGAAGTCCCACCCCTGCAGTGGGAGAAGGCTGGAGGCCTGGGTCTCAACTTCCTGGGACCTGGAGTAAGTGCGTTGCCTCTGCCTGGGACTGAGGTGTGAGTACCTGGCTAAGGAGAGAACTCCAGGGCCTCTTGTACCCAGGCTGGCGACAAGTTCTTGGCCCCCACCCTCCATCACTCCCTGCTGGGCTCCTCAGGCTGGGACAGGTGGGAAGCAAGGGTTTCAACCTTCCCTAGTACTTCTGCCTCAGTTTTTCTAGAGTTTGGTCTCTGTTGCAGGATTTCTGCATTTCGCCATATCACCCTTACCAATCTAGAACCTCTAGGTTGGGAGCTGGGGGAGGTGCGTGTGACTTATTAATACCACCAGCTTGTTACAAAGACCCACACTTCACCCACCATCAGGACTACACACAGCTTTTGTCTTCATACTCAGTAACTGACCTTGCTACGTTACTTCATCTCTGAGCCTGCCTCAGTTACCTCATCTGTACAATGGGGATAACATTAGGTTTCATGAGTTGCTGTATGTAGTGTCCAAAACTGCCTAGCTCATCGCTATTTGGGCTTGAGGCGCCCTTTTCCAGGTCCCATAAATCTTACTGTCGACCCTATTCCCAAGAAGGATTGGGTGGGTGGGGGAGACAGGTCTAGGGCGGTAATGAAGTTCTAGGAGGTTAAAGGAGTGAGGGAGGGGATGAGTACCCAAGGAAGGGCTGGCCAGGAAAAAAGTGTGGCTGTTGGAACTGACCGGGAAACAGTTGACAGCTTGTGAAGAAGGGCAGAAGGTCCTGGGAAAGGGACTAGCCAGGGGGTGGGGGAGGCTGGAGGAGGTGGTGGGGACACCCAGGACTGAGGAAATAAACAAGGGGAGCGCCAGCCACACAGGGGTGGAGGGTAGTGCTGCTGGGAATCAACCCCCTCAGACTTTCCACTGCGAAGCGAAACCGTGAGCCCTGGGGCGTGTGGGGGGGCAACGCAGAGGGGAAGTGGGGAAGGTGAAGGGAAGGCAGAAGGACAGGGGCAAGGGCCCTGGGAACAGACGGGCCTCCCAGCTCCAGACATCCACCTTGCCTCTGCTCTGCTCTCTGCCACTACCCTGCCCCATTACCTAGGACTCCCTCCGACCCCCACCCCCTACCTTTCTCCCTCCCCTCCCCAGCCCGGTGGCTGCCTGACCTGGCCAGCTTTCCTCTGGATTCCAGCCTCTGGTCATTGGTTCCTCCCCTCTCCCTCCAGGTCTCTGTCCCTGTCCCTCTTCTCGTAGGTTCCTTTCCTCCACCCTCCACCTTGCAGAACCTCTCCTTTGTCAGCTGTCTCTCCCTCCTTCTTGACCTCTTCCCTTTGGAGGGCTCCTCCCAGCCCAGACCTAAGGGGAGATGGGGGAAGCCCAGTTCCTGTTCTTGGTGCTTCTGCCCTTGCTGTGGGTGGCTCCAGGTAAGATGGGGATGATGCTGTGAGAGGGTTGACCCAGACCCACAGGAGGGGGTCAGCAGGGATCTCCGGATGACTACACAGAAGCCAGGGTTCGGTTCGTAGTTTGGGTGGATTTTTCTCAAGCCTTGCTCGGAGGCAGTCCTTCAGCCCCCAAAGCCTCTCATCAGGCTCCCCGTTGGCAGGAAAAGGGCAGAACCCTGGTCTTCCTCAGGCTCCTTCTCTACTCCTAAGTCTCTTGGCTCATGGTCCCTCCCTTTGGCCTCTCTTTTCCTCCCCAGTAGAGGCACCAGGGCCCCGGACAGAGGTCCGGGAGGTGTGGGCCCAGGAGGGGGCTCCTGCCCAGCTCCCCTGCAGCCCCACAATCCCCCTCGAGGATCTCAGCCTTCGAATAGGAGGGGTTACCTGGCAGCATCTACCAGACAGGTATGCACCCCAAACTTGGGCAACAGAACTCCCAAATCCAAGGTCCAAGCCGGCCCTCGGTCCCCTGCCGGGAGCTGTCAGTCCCTCTGAAGCCAGTGGCCTGCCTCCCCGGCCACCATGCACCCTCGGCCCTTCCTCATCGAGGCAGCCCGTAGGTTGCCAGCAGGAGATGGTGCTGGCCCAGTGCGAGGGCGGACACGGGGGGGCGTTAATGGTCAAGAGATCTGCCCTTTGGGTGGGCTTCCTTATCCTCAGAGTGTGGCGGGACTGCATCTCTCTGGAGATTTCTTTCCCTTTAACGTCTCCATCTCTCCCGCTCCCAGCCCGCCCCCAGCCCGGAGCGGCCCCTCCCCG